ACCGAGAAGCTGTGGTGCTTAAATACTGATAATGAGAAGTTTTAAAACTGATGAAAATAAACATTATAAAAATGAAATCATAATGACCTGTAAATCATTCTGATGTGACTGCTACTCTAATAAATAATTCAGCTCTTCTTCACTACAAAGCACTTCTTAGCGAAATTGTTAGTTCAAACACTTGGTCTCAACTAATCCAGGCTGCCAGATATCTCATGCTGGTTTTGTCTTCAGGGTTTTGCCATTGAGTTTTGCTCTGTGACCTGTTTCTGTGTGCACATGCAAAACAGGTGTACTTTACTAATTAATTACAGACCAATTTTTTAGCAACAACATCAATCATTTGCATTCAGAAGTGTCCAGTTCAAACAGACTTAGCTTATTAACTTGCAAATCAGACCTGTTCAAATTTGCACAGAACTCCAGGCATTAATAAAATATTTAACTGAAGTAGGCACTTTCGAGAATGACCTCAGTCTACATCTTACATAAAAATATTAGTACTTTAAGAAATAAATAATGTTATACAATACATTAAGTAATAAAGATTAATCCAGTACGTATGGTTAAGTAATTGATTTTCTTATTTCACTAGATCAGTTCATGCCTTTGTCTGCCATATGGCTACATGTAAAATGGCAGTTAACTGAAGTTTTAATTCAGTTCTTCTCCAATTCATATTTTGCTAAAATGCCTTAATAGTCTGTACAAACAACAGGCAACCTCTACTAACAAATCATAGTGAAGTTAGCCACCAACCAAAATTTACTAAACTCAAAACTTTGTTAGCACAAGAAAAAAACCCTGAGAGGACAAGAATATTTTGTAATGCATAATCCCAGTTTTAAATTTGAAAAATCTGAGCACTTCAATAAGTTTTTGGCAGCTACTCTACTGGTAGCACCTGTGAGTCATCTACCTGCTACATTTCTTATCTTTTTACTATGGACACTGAACTGAAAGACCCAAGAAACCTTAAATTCTTAGTTTTTGCTGTGCTACATGTAGCATTGAGATACAATGAAATACTTGCCTGACCTACCAACTGATGCTGTGAGACAGGAAAAGTAATTAAAGGGCATAGCACCTTGCCAAGTGCTAACTGTAATTTGAAATAATTTTAATATTATCGTTTAAAGTTCTAGGAACTTAAATAGTGTATTATTTCTACATTGTATTCTACACAGAAGTCACTTTATAAAAAGCAGTTCAGCATATAATTAAAAATATTTTAGAAATACACACCAGTAGGAAAGAACTATGCAGGCAGTGGAGGCGATGGCAGTGGGAGTTTCACTCCCATGACCATGTAGATGTGACTGCAGGACTACAAAACTGAAAAAAAACCCCAACCACCCAAACAACACCAAATCAATGAAAAATATACAGGGCCTGATTTTTAAACTTTGGATTTGAAAGGCAAAATAATGAGTATGGAGGTCTTCTAACAGTCATGGGCATAACACTGAAGACTAATTTTAATGCCATTCAGTGGAATCTCAGAAACCCGGAAAACTCTAAAAGAAACAATTAATTCAATTAAAAGGGAAGTACAAGTATAAATTACTGATTGGAAAATCAGACAAGTTCTTTTTCAGACAGTATAGGCTGAATAAAACTTCTGCAAAATGCTCCTTTCTAAAGAAAGTAAAAAACTGCAACGGTATTCTTCATAACTATTTTAGTTTTCCTTGGAAATTAGGGTTATGTAGGGGTTTGGGGCTTTTTAATCTGTCCATCTCAGCTCCATGTTTCCAATAATTACAGTATTATTGACCAATTCCAAACAAATTTGTAAAGGGCATAAAAGCCTTAAAAATACTATATCCCGACACACTACATAGAAAGGATTAGCTGAGTAAAGCACAGAGACTATTAACATCCACCCAAGGAGGAAAAAAATACAAAGTGTATTCACTTGTTTATAAACAAAGCATTCCATTGTAGAAAGGAGATGTCAACCCCTAATATTATATCCATACTTCAAACACTATGTTGTGTTTCAAAATGTCATCAGTAAAAATTACACAGTGCTACATGTCATGAAGCTATGTGAAAAATTTAGAAAAAAAAGTCAGGAATTTGAACTCTGATCTCTTTCATCACAGTACAGTAATTTCAAATAAAAGGCCACCCCATCCCTCTGAAGTGTTTCTGTACTATAATGTTATGATACTTCAAGTGTACTGCCAGGGCTGTATGGCAACAGGCCACACTGCAATCAAATGTAAATTTTCTGTAACACCCCATTCTATAAGGTCATTAGAACAGATACGTAGCTAGGACACAGGGGAAAAGATGATGACTGGAGGTGATGGCAGAGAAAAGAAATATTGTTATTGTGGTATTCATCCCTTGCAATACCAGAATGAGTTAATATATGGATCAGGATTATTCATCTTTCTTCTTTTTTTTTTTTTTTAACATACTGCTTTGCATTTGTATCAAATACATAATTTCAATTTACTTTTTGCTCTTCAAAAAGTTGTAAATCCAACAGTTGCCCTGTGCCAGCAAAAGTGTAAGAGGAGCGGGACTCTCGAAAGCAATTATTGTTCAAGCAACTTCGGTAAGGAAGCAAAGTTTAATTACTCACTTGGCTCAGTGTTTTTGGACTCACAGGAATTTTATCAGATGTAGTGCTGACTTATCATTAATATATAGGCTTTATTTTTATACTATCTTATATCTGGTATCAGTATCTGTGTTTCACTCAATACATTCTTGGAGATATTCCAAAATAGGCACTGCACATATGAGTGAAACAAACATACTTTCTCCATCTGAAAAGCAAATGACAATGTAAGACAACCTTGTGCAGAAAAGTATTGATTCAGTAACTGTATTGTCATCTCATAACCAGCCAATACACATTTTAAACTGTACCTGCTGACTGCTGAACAATTCAGTTTGTAGACTTCCAAAATACTTTTTAAAAAAAATTAGAAGGCATGGAAGCTTTACAAGCCCTGCTTTCTGTACACAGATGCAAATCACTCAGCAAAAATGGTCTCTGCTGTATATTTGGTTGGCATTGTCACTGCTGATTTATACAGTTATGTCTCAGAGTATTTTCCCATATTAATAGTGGAAGCTTTTTTAATCCCCTATAACATGCCTAAAAATTTGATGGGACAACTTTCCACCCCCTATTGTTTGTGTGTTTGTTTGAATCTATAACCTTATAGCTAATCCCATGAGATTAGAGGAAAACGGCTGTTTCAGGAAAGTGGGGGCAGCTTTGCATCATTTTGCTAGAATTTATGCTGTGGCTGTGCCCTAAAGCAGAACGGAGTCATTGCAGCATGACCCCTTACCACTCTTGACCCCCAGCCTGTTTTAATTTGCTACCGGTATAGGCTGGCCTGAGACCAAAAGCAGCAGGTAGAAAATAAACGGTCTCCTCTTACTGACCACACCTCAGCTCTTGTGGTTGATGGTAAATGACACTATATAATAGTCATTCTTTTTCCTCTAGTGTCAGGGTAATAAATCACATTCACTATCGCCTTTGGTCAAATACTTGAAATTTTCCATTTTTTTTCCATGGCAGGAGTAAGAGTAAAAATATTTTATATGCTACTGTGAATGCAAGTGTATCCCGAGGTAAGAACAGAAAATGTGCTGTTTGTAGAACAGGATTTATTCCAAGTTTATTTGCTGACTTTATGAATTTAGCTATTTCATTTTTATTGTTTCTAGAAATATAACTGCAATACCTGCCATTTAAAAACCCTAATTCTCCTTTGATTGAACCTGAACATTCTCATTTAATTAAAAACTCTAGATTAAAGGAAGATAATATGCAAATTTACAAACACCTAACCCAAAATGTGGATGATGCAGATTTGTAAAATAAATCTGGCTGCACATACTTGATAACTGAAGATCTAATTGATCCTAGGATAGAATAGCTTATTTACAAAAGGTGATCTGAGAGGAAAAAAAATTAATACCATTTACCACTCCCTTTTGATAAATAAACATGGCCTAGAAGTTAATCTAGTCATCCTAGGGAAAAAAAAAGGTATCTTTATTTTCATACTGAGAGGTCTTTAGGAGACATGATGGTCTAATCTGTGGTCTAAATTTAGCTGAAATAGACAAATTCCTATCAGTATCAGGCCTCAGATCAAAACCTAGCTCCTAGGGCATTAACTGTCCTTGCTACTCATTTGAGAGTGTCAGAGAGCTGGGAATTCAGCTGTTGGCTAGAATGTTTTCAGTTCAACTTCTCCACTGTTTTAAAATTAGTCATTAAAAGTAGTATCAAATTGTACTGTTTAATTGAAATTATCCAAACCTATAATTGGGTTTGCATGAGACTGATACATTCTAGGAACAGTTTTATATATGGTGCCATCAAACTTGGTCAGCAGTGAGTTATCTGTTACAGGTGATACCCAGATTTTTAGTAACTGTTTCTAGTATTGTTTGTTTCCTCATTATGGACTAACATACTTATTCAGTTTTTATGATGCCCCAAAATTTATGTCTAAAAGAATAATAAAAATGTATCAAATGTCTTTTCTTCTAGTAATAACTGGAACTGTAATCACAGCAGTAACGCGGGCTGGCAGTCTGCATGCAACAATATCCATCATTAATGTATATAAGGAGGGAAATTTAGCAATTCAACAAGCCGGCAAGAGTATGAGTGCCAAAATTATTGTTGTATGTAAGCAGTGTCCTCTCATCAGAAGGGGTAAGTACACAAAAATAACTGCTTGGTGTGTTTATGCAAGCCAACAGTTTTGAAAACTGATATTTTAAATATGACCACAAAAATCAGTAAAATTACAGTAATTGTTTCTATAACCAGCAACTATTATTTTAGTCAATTTATGATAAAAATAACTAGTTATCCAGGTTTATATTGCATTTTTAAGTTTTACTTATAAAGGAATAGACTCACTTAGATCAAAGGAATTTGAAAAAAAATTTTTTAAAATACATGTGATATAAAGTAAAACCTGATTTAGTTCTCTCAAATGAAGCTCAGTTAGAGCTGTTTTTATGTGCATGTATTTTGGAGCTAGTTTTCACACATAGTTATTTAGAAGGGAAAAACAACAGTGTGCTAAACCTAGAAGAGCAGTTATGTCACAGCAAATGACAAAAATCAACACATTTCCCTGTTAACGTCTCTCTTGTATGTGCATCTTTAGTGTAGAAATACGAATAGAATTAAGCCCGCTCCATATCTGCAAACAGCCAGTGTTTCTATAGCTATCTTAAACAGTATTACACAGAGTGGATCAATCAAGATAATTTCCAGTTAAATGTCACAATGGCTACCTATATGGTGTTGTAAGAAACACAGAGACTGTGTGTCATTGAAGTAACCAAGTAAAAAATAAAAGTTTTCAGCTCTGCCTGCTGAGTATACAGGTAGAACAGGAGAACATAAATGGAACCCTAGCAGGAAACAGTCAAAATAATTTAGTAAACATGAAAAAAACCCTGATAACATTCAGGATACTACTGGTATTTAAGCATACTAATTCAAAGTGGGCAGTACTGAAGTGAAAAATCCTTGTCAGAAACTAGCTTTTGTTTTTACCTTTAGTTCTCTGGAAACTAGACACCTTGTCTGGGAGACAATAATATCCTTGGTGGAACAAATTGTCTCCTTTTAGGCAGACCGCTAGCTCCAAACCACACACTTCTGTTTCTCTTCCTAAATCACCATGAATTATTTAATAGCCATGACTTAATATCTAAGCTTTTCTGTTTAGACCCTTATTAACACCACTCCTTCCACCCTAAGGCCTTGCAAACCCCTAACCCTTCTAAGCCATAAAAATACACAAATCCATCCGATTTCTCCAAAGCCAGGGCTTACCACACATTAAGCCCAGCTTGCTTGCCTGACTGCCTCTCTGTATCTCAAAAATGTTTGTCTTTCGGGGAGGAAAAGGGAAAGAAAAGACTTCAGGGCATTATCCCTTAAGTGCGTTATCCTTCAAGCTGAGCAAATAAGAAAAAACTCAAAATGAATGAGACACACTGTACTTTGGGTGTTAGTAGCTAAGTTATCCAGCGTTTCTACTACATTGCTAATGTCTTTCAGACTCATTTGACAATTAGATTTAATGAGTATCGCCTATACATTTAAGTATGTAGTAGATACTTGGCTATGTATCTGCTTGATTTTTACATTACTTTATTGTGTAACAAGCATGGCAAAGATGGGTAAAGGAAAGCATGGCTTTAGGTAGGAAGGAAAAAATGTTAGAAGGCATTGGTAAGAGTGCAAATGAATAGAGACCACAGACAGAGAACTATACTTAACAAATCATGCCTGGATTTCTGTCTTGTAATATCATGCTGTCCTTTGTAGGTTTAAACTACATCATCATGGGCCAGGTAGAAGAAGACGGCAGAGGCAAAATCTTTCCCAACAGCTTTGTCATGAGTTTTAAGACTAAGAACTCAAAGATCCTAAATGCCTTGAAAAACAAAACATGTTAAAACTAAACTCTGCACCTGCATTCTATCATCTCTCCTCAAAAATGTTTTTCACTTAGTATAAGTCATGAAAATACAACTGACTGCCAGCACTAGGACCATGCTCACCTTTTCTTCCCTTCCATCCACCTAAGCACACCCTGGCACAAAGTGTTACCCATTACATGTACCTATCAAGATGGGAACAGATCCTCCTAAGTCTTAAAGCCGAAGATTTTCAGGACAGCTATCTGATCTCAAACATACCAAATTCCAAATACTTGGAAACTGTTAATTTATAATTGTCCAACTTTTTAAGGAGTTGTGTATGTAAAATAAGAATTCAAAGTGCAATATTTATAGTAACTCATTTTAACGTAGCTTTTTCTCTGAAGTTGTTTTATTACATGGATTTCTGCATTATTACCTGTGCTTAATAAAATATTTTAAGATTAAACCATACACCAACTAGTTATTCATTATGTATAAAGTGTGGCAGACTAAACATAGAAACTCTTTTTTGATCATTTACATTCTTTTGATGGTTTGGGTCTTGCACAGTACGACTGACACGACACTTCCTTGCTGATTAAAGGCCTGATTTTTCTTCCATTGAAGTCAGTGAATTGCCAATTTGAACAGGAACTGGATTTATTCTTCAAAGAATCAGACAACTGTAAAACAGCATCATGCTTTTCTCTACTGATGACTATAATCTAGTTAGTAAATGTCACTATTAAGTTCCATAAGGTAATTAGGGAGGAGGAAGGCAGGAATTAATTTAGTGGACATAAAGTACACATGAAAAGAGTTTAAATTTTTGCCTCCATTGTGAAAGGTCAGAGAATACAGCAATGCGCAATCTGGCACCGCTAGTGTAAATAGTAGCATATCTGTCTACTTTATTTCATTACTATATGCAAAAGTTTGAACAAGTAGCTATTTTGAGTATAAGGGAAGGAACAGGCTAGAAGCAGTCACAGTTGAAGAACATTTTAGTCAAAAGCAGGTATGAAATACATGCTCTTCAAACTGGGTAAAGCTTGAATACTAATAAAAAGGACATGGATGGCACAGACTCTAAGATCCCTTTAAGTACTTGTTTTCCTCATATATAGATGCTGTACCAGAGTTCTTTTGATAATCTGTAACCATGGGCAGGAAACTAATGAAATACACAGTCCCTACTGGAAGTACTCATGGTTTATTCCAGGGGTGGAATGTGGATTACCATTCTTCTTCAATTATTGATTGTCATACGTAATGCCAAGAGGTGCTGCCACAGTGCAGCGCAGCAGCCTATGTTCCGAAGATGTTAACGGGTAGCTAGGCAGAAGACAAAAGAATCAGAGGGAGGCACAAAGGTACAGAAAGGCTGTGCTGGCAGCTCACATCAAACAGCTCAGTGCTGTAACCGCACCATACAGATAGCTAGGCCTTTGCCTTACTGACTAAACCAAACAGCATTTCTCTATGTAAATGACAGCAACATTTGTTTGCAAAGCAGATATAATTTTGTAATTTTAAAATTTTTAAATTGCTATTTTCCAGTATTGATTCCTACACAATTAAGGGGTTTTATGCACAGTCCTCTCTGCATTTCTCAGCAGCAGCCTGGGCAGAAGCAATGTGGAAATCATGCTCGGAACATTTTTATTTATGATGACATGACCATCTGTCATACAGCTTTTTTCAGAGAGGCAAGAAGAGTCTGGCAGCCTGCTCCTCATCTCCCAAACGGTAG